AAAGTCTGGTTCATCGGCAGCAATCTTGTATGAGCCACATTTGTACTGCTACAATGACATGAGCTTTTTAGACTCAGTAATAGTTTTGGGAAAAACCGAAAGCAGCTTGGTTGGTTCAGTTCAAATTACCCCATACGTTCTTCTTATTTGTATTCTTGGATTACCTTTTGTTACAGGATGTTGTAGAACGGAGTGGCGACCCAGTGGATAATGTTGATTTGAAAGCCACATTTGTTGATGATGAATGCAAAGGGCAAGAGCAACAAATACCAGCTACAAACATTCCAACAAACCTTGCGCCATCTCCATATCCGACTCAATCCCCTACTAATTGATTCACATCATCTACATTGTCGACACGTCGCCGTCGTCAGGCGATATTAATATTTAAAATAGCTGGATTTGTATAAGTTTTGCCCTCAAAATGTCAAAAAATAAAAGGTATCGTGGTTATCGACCGGAACGGAGTGCGACAGGAACTGAGTATTCAACTAAGCAATCCAAGATATAGTTTCATCTGCAACAGGCACTACTATTTACTTAATTTGGAAAGACAATTGCACTTCAGCTGCAGCAATTGCCACTGTCTACGCTAACGGTGACCATGTCAAAAATACATTCAATGGTGTCAGAGGCTTTGGTATAGTATTTGACACCCACCCATGTGCAAAGAAATTCAGACATATTGCAAGCTGCATTAAAATGACGCAAATATATCATTTGAATAAGAATTAGATATTTATGTTAGGGCTTGCCGGTACCGCCTGCCCGGTCCCTTTTATTTCTAATCTATAATTAATTATAAGTTCCAATTCGGTATTTAACCGTGGTTGCGCATATTCGACATTTTATTAACTATAATTTATAAATAAAAGAGACGGATACTTTGTATTGAGACATTACCGAACATGTTGGTAATTTTTGGAATTAAATTGAATCGCTTAGCCTGTTCCGGTACCCGTCCGATTTACAAAATTTAGTCTGAAGGCTCCCATACAAAAATATTTAATAAGCGTCTTCGGTAATATCTTCCGGCCTATTTCTAACTAAATCCTGTAAATCTGGAGCGTACTGGAACAGAATAAAAAGGTGTGCCAGACCCTAAGTGTCGTAATTTTGCTTTTACATGGTTGTTCAAGTATTTCATTCGCAAATGTATTCAGGCCTTGAGAACAGATTTCTAACTTTTAAAAGTAATGTCCCTTGTTAATTACATATCGACCGCTGAGTGGAAGATCGACCGATATCGACAGCCGGTTCGAAAACGCCCTATCAGAGAAAACTTTTCAAGAACTACTTCAGAATTTATTTGAAAAACGACTTATTTCAGAATTCGGTTCGAAAATGCGTTATATTAGCTGCCGAGTCAAAAACGCCCTATCTCACCATATTTTCGGTTGAGATAGGGCATGTAAAATTTATAAACGAAAATGAAACGCCCTCAAAAATTGGTTTTAAATATTCTTTATTTTAAAGTGTAGTTTGCTGTAGAGAATCGACTTACTTTCCCAGATGTTGATGAAACGAAGAAGGATAGACAACAACAACTTTGTGGAAGTGACAGCCCGGTGGTGTGTGTCAGTCGTACGCTCTCACAACATGTAGCAGTCTGTATGGTACAACGGCGCAGGACTGGGTTGCTGTGTTTTCATGTAGCATAAAGCAGGGTTACATTCTAACATTTTCCGCCCACCTCGTCAACTTCTGACGAACTATATGCCGCTTTGCCGCCCACCATGTCTACACTCCGCCCACCATGTCCAGGTTCAATGGGTGTATCCAATGGTAAGACAGCAATCTTCGAAATTGCTCGTT